AATCTAGGCATTTTTGCTTCAAATTTATTTTTTTTTTTAAAAACAAACAAAAATCTGCACTAATTTACCTGGTTTTCGTAGAAATTTTTTATTTTTTACATTTTTTGGTGTCCGTTTGTATTGAATAATTTGCTACATTTGTAAAATGTAAGAGGTATGTATAATATAAGTATATTTTTAACATCAGAATTGTAATTTTTTTCAAGGTTTTTTCTTAAAAAGAGGAGAGAAATTGATTTTTTTCAGGAAAAACAAACTTTAAAATAAAAAAGAGGAGAATAAACCTTTTTCTCCCCTTTCCCCATCCTCTCTCTATCTATCCCTCTTTCCCAGGAACAAATCAAAAGATGGATTATCTTGTGAAGAATGTAAACTGTCAATCCAGAATGATGTCTTTTTCTCAATGCAGGGAGCTATAGATTCTCAAATTACCTCCCTAAGAGTGGGAGGGGGCATTGGAGCAACTGGAGAGGAGCCAGGGGAGCAGGGTAATGACTTTTTTTTTCTTTAGTGAAGGAGGAATACAGTCAAATGTTTTGTATTCAGAATGTTGTGCCATATTTTGGAATGGGACATTGGTGTGTTAGAGATTTAGTTTAAAAACAAGATTGATCAACTCTGTACGGTTTATATTGTTCCAGATTTTTTAAAGTTTGTATTAAAAACATGATATATGATAAAAATAAATAAATAAATAAAATTGTGTCAAGTTGGTGCCTTGTTGGATGAAAGCAAGTCTAAATCATGGGGGGAAATGAAGAAATGGATAATCTACAGAAGCAAGTCAAGTCCACCTGCAGATTCCAGGTAACCTTGGTTCTGCGGGACATGTGTAGCATCCTTCTTCAGTGCCTCACAGAGTGACATGATGGCCCCTAGATTTGCTAAACATATGGTTTTTGATGTATTGGCTTTTTCAGATCGCCATTTTTTTTTTCAAACTGGGGATTGAACCCAGGGACCATATCACATCCCCATCCCTTTTAAAAATTTTGTTTAGACACAGGTCTCAGCCAAGTTGCTTAGGGTGTCAATGAATTGCTGAGGTTGGGTCTGAACTTGTGATCCTCCTACCTCAGCTTTCTGAGCTGCTGGGGATTACAGGCATGTGCCACCATGGCCGGCTGAATTATTCTCATTTATGAACCTGGATGGTCAACTAGTTTTCCACAGGGCACCAAGAGGACACAATGGGGAATAGATAGTCTCTTAAATAAATGCCACTGAGAAACTGTATTTCCACAAGGAAGGAAGGAAAGTGAACCCTTGTCTTACACCATCCACAATAACCAAACCAAAAAGGACAAGAGCCTGAAGTGTAACATCTGAAGCATAAAATACCTACAAGAGAACATGGGAGAGACCTCCTTGACATTGACCTTCGTTATTGAGTTTTTGGTTTTCACACCAAAAATTCACACTATAAAAAGTAAATTTGTGAGGCTGGGATTGTAGCTCTATGGTAGAGCACTCGCCTAGCACATGTGAGGCACTGGGTTTGATCCTCAGCACCGGGTAAACAAGTAAATAAATAAAGGTATTGTGTCCACCTATGACTAAAAAAATAAAAATAAACACACTAAATATCTAAATGTGATATCTTTACCGTGTGATTAATGTGCAAAAAGGCAAATCTCCCCCAGGATTCTACAGGCTTGTCTTTTCCCAGCTCAGGAATGTGATGTGGCTCCTGTCAGAAGACTTTGTCTGCCTGAGTTTCTGACGCCCCAAGGAGACCCAGAGAGTGAGGTGGACTCCAGAGAGGGGTTGAGGCTGCAGGTGAGCTGCCCAGCTGGGCGCCTCCCGCACCTCCCAGCATTCTGTACTCACCAGCCACCTGCTCATGCTTCCCTTGGTCCCTGTAGCCCCAGCTCTGACAGCAAGTCCCTGTGGGGCCACCTCTGGGCCTCAGATCTGTTCTGTGTGAGGATATCATGAGGATGAAGAGACTGACAGATGCATGTCTGATACACACTGCGCACTCGCCCTTCTCACTCTAAAATGAAAATGTTTTCACACTGATCATCAAAAGATGTTCATTGAGCTGGGTGCAGTGGCACATGCCTATAATTCCAGTGGCTGGAGAGGCTGAGGCAGGAGGATTTCAAGTTCGAGGCCAGCCTCAGCAACTTAACGAGGCCCTAAACAACTCAGGGAGACCCTGTCTGTAAATAAAAAATAAATAAAAAGGGCTGAGGATGTGGCTCAGTGGTTAAGCACCCCTGTACTCAATCTCCAGTACCCCCCAAAACAACAAAAAACAAAAAGCCTTGCAAAAACAACAAACAAACACAAGATGTTCATTGAAGTTGATTAAATTAAACTAAGATTATGCATAGCTTGGGCCAAAAGATTTGTGATCTCCATCTCAAAAGACTGTTCTAAAAAAAGAGAACTCTGTTCTATTAAAATCCAGCCTCCACCAGATACAGAAAGAAGATGGTTATGAAAAAGTGTCTGCTGTTTCATCATTATGTGTACACACACATATACACAGATGCAAGCACACACTGACGTTCATCAGGGTCCACAGAATGTCGTAGAAGACAAAATGTGCTCAGGAAAACATGAGATCTCACCAAAATAAATCTGTCATGGGAAGAGGACCCTCAAAGATAGTCAACAGGCTATGGTCCAAACGGGTGTCAGACCTGCTTTACGGTGTGAACTTTCTTCCTAACCAATCCTCCCCCTCTCACACTCTCCCTCTCCTTCCACTCCTACAAATATTCCTTCCATTCATTTCCTGGCTGATCTTGGTGCCCAGACTGTCCACCAGGTGGAGGCCTGCACCCTCTTCCCCTGCCTCCGCCCCTCCCCGCATTCGAGGAATCTCCACGTGCACCCAGCGGGGCAGGTTCCTCTCCCTAGGGTGCTTTCTCTTATTTTCTCATCATTTTCCATCCCCTCTGGAAGGTTTTGCTCAGACATATGGCTGGAGAGTTTTCTTTGACTCTAGTGCCACTGCTAACCCGGCTGGGAGAAGGGCCGGACAATGGCTCACCTCCACCTCACATCCTCTCCCCTCAGCTCAGATTCCAGGCAGGACTCTTGCAAACAGTCCGTGTAGTCTTTGACCAGATTCAGGAACCTCTGGCTTCCTGCCCCCACTCCCCCTGGGGGCTGCCCTCAACCAATAGGAGAAAGGAGTGGTGGTGGGGGGAGGGCAGGAAATGCTTCTCCCATTTATCCCTTTTGGCAGACAATTAAGATGCAACAGATGAACCCCTAAGAGATCCTTTTGAGACTAAACTTTAGTGACCCTTCTTGTGGTCACCTCTAGAACCCACCCATGTTCCAGCTTTTATCTCTTCACTTTTCCAAGTCCCTCTGCTCCATGGATACACTTTCCAAATAATCCACTGGTCCAGAATCCTGCTTTCAGGGGTATCAGGGGACACCCAGACTGAGACGAAGAGGCCCACAGCCCTGTGCTGCCCTCTATGGCTGCTTAGTCACATCTTCTGGTCCCTTGGTGTTTTCATAGGTGTGCCTTCAGCCCACAGAGATCTTCTGAATGTGGGAATTGGTCTGATCTCCCTGTGCTCCTTCACAGTATAGAGGTCAGTCCCTGCTGGGGACTAAGCGAATGAATGAATGAATGAATGAGGAAGTGAGGTAGGTTTCAGGATTACCTTTCTCTTCTTCATGTTAACTGATTTCTCATCCTGTCCCTCCACTTCAGTTTTAAGGCACTTAGCTGTCTGCAGGGGTCCACCCTGAGCAGGGGGGCTGAGTGCCAAAGTATAGGAATCTTGGCTCATTTCCTGATGATTGTAGCACACTGAGGTTTGTCACTCAAGTTCTCTCCAACCCCAAGTCCTGGGCCATCTGAAACCCATATTGTATATGGGAAAGCCTTTACTGAGCACCTACCGTGGGCCAGGCAGAGAAGGGCTGAACACACAAGATGAAGGAGACCTGGATTTTGCCCAAAGAGCTCACACTCCAGTGGGGAAAGTGTTCCTCCAGGTGGCAGGCTAGGAATCAAAGCTTGGATTTTCATAGAAGGAGGCAGAGAGGTTTGGCACCATGTAAAAATGAGGTCGAATCTGGGTTCCTGTACTTCACTTGGCTTCTCTGATCCTTAGTGCTTTCCGGTGAAAGGGGACTCAGGTTGTGTTAAGGTCACCCATCTGTGCTGCCGGTGTTGAAATAGCCAGAGAGTGGCAGTTTTACCTACTGCATCATTGTTCCTAGAGTCTGGCCATGGAGATAGAAGGTGGTATGCAGGGTTCCATTGGCAGTTTACTTATCAGGTAAAAGCAACAGAAATTGGTGACAAATTGGGTAGTGCTAGCTAGAGCATCAGAGTCAAAAAGCAACAGATACCGCACACAATAGTCGCTTCTTTTCTGTATCGGGCACCTATTGTGTACGCTTTTCTTGGCTCATGCGGCCTCTTGGAGGAAGCGACATGACCCTTGGACAGAAGAGAAACGGGAGGCACGAGGGTGTGGGAAGATGTGGTTGTGGTCTTCCTGCCCTCCCCCATCCCAGTCCAGTCTTTTACCAGAAGGCACTGTGTGACCTTGGGCAAAACTTTGGTCACCTGTTCCTGCACTATGGTGGCAGCAGTAGCAGGGACACTGTAGAGTGTTGATTTTGAGAGGCAACAGGAGCGCAAAGGGTCCTGTATTTTAAAATGGTGAGATGAATTCAGTGCTATCCTCTCCCCCGAGCCTCTGCTCCTTTTGGAAGCCCAGGTGAGCAGCGCAGAGGCGCTTCAGGTAATAATATCAACGAATGTTATTTAATTCTTGGTACTCGGGAGCAAGACTCTCCCTCCTGGCCCCAGGAACCTGATTGGCCTCCCAGCCCACTGGGGGACCTACACGCAGAGGTCCGGACGGAGGCTCCGCGCAGTCCCTGGTACCCGCCCCTGCCTGGCTCCGCCCAGACCGCGGGAAGGTGAGGCCGGGGGCGGGGCCAGAGGTGGGGGTCGGCCAGGCTTGAAGACTGCACTGCCCGCCAGACTGGCCCACACCTGTCACCCTCCCATGGGTCTGCTACCTCCGTGCCCCCCAATAATGCTGCTACTCTTGCTGCTGCTGCTGCTGGGACCTGGCCCCGGACCCAGCGTGGGTAAGTGATGACCCGACCTCCTCCAGCCCTCCCTAGGGACTTAGGAGCTCCGCATCCCAACTCCTCCACAGGGACTCCAACTCACCAGCCTGCCCCAGGTCCCCAGGAGCTGCACAACCCCCAGCCCTCTCTTCTGATATCCACCCACTCATCCATCCTAGGGACGCAGTAACCCTGTCTCCTACTTCTGTCCAGGGCCTCCCACATAGCACACTCTACCTAAGGACTCAGAACCAGCCCTGACCTTCCCCAGAGGTTTAGAGTCCTCCCCTCAAATAGCCTCCAGAGCCACTCAGAGCCCCTACCCCTGCCGTCCTGATCCCCATTCTTGTGAGGTGACCATCACTCTGTCTGCGGGTCCGAGGTTGGATCTCAGACCTCATGGGGGTGGCGAGCAGGGGCAGAGGGGCTGGGCTTGCTGGTGGGTGAAGAACGTATAGTCTCCTTCTCATCTATCCCTGGGGTCACCCTCAGAGAGGTCCTCTTGGTGGCTGCCCATTTCTGGAGCCCACAGTTGAGCAGCACACTTAGGGAACATACAGGCACCCTAAGACAGCCACACAGGAACAGCACCCCCCTCACCTGGGCACTGGGGTGCACAACTCCTCAGACCCAGGCTGCAGATTCAGCAAAATGCTTGGAGAGGAGTAGCTGCATGCACAACCCAGCGACCCCTGAGACAGCCCCAGGGAAAACTCACATGAACCCTGGACACACTGCGAAGTACAGATGCATGGACCCGGGGCTCACAGGATACCCTGCCAGCCCAAGCACTCCCAAAGGAGGCTGCCCGCGGGCAGACAGAGCAAACAGACCCCAGCCTGACCTGCCCCACCTATGTTGGCACAAAGGGAGTGTTTTCTTCGGTTTCAAACCCGCCCCATGCCTGAGCCCTTCTTAGGTCTGTTCCTAGACCTCAGGATGCCAGAGAGTGGTCAGATGGTGGTGTCGGTGGTGGGAACTCTGCAGAAAGCTTCAAAATATGGTTCTGAGGCTGGGACCTTGTCTGGGGGTGCTTAGGGTGGATGTGTTCCAGGGAGCTTAGCGGATCCAGAGGTCAAGGGACCTTTTCTGGAAGCCTATCAAGTGCCAGGGCATTCAGAGCTGCCTGTCAGAGATTTGCTCTGTAATATCACCCAGGTTGGAGGGTCATCCTCTTAAGCAGACAGCAGCACAGTCCAACAAGGGTCCCTGGGGCCACCTGGGGGGGTGAGTTAGTTGTGGAGGGAGGTGGTCTGTGAGCCTGGTGAGGTTGGTAAGAGCATTTGCAGCAGAGTGTGGATGTGCTGGGTATGACTGGAGAGAGCACAGGATTCCTGGTGCAGGAGAGGGGGCCCTGGAGGAGTGGGAGGACTTGACCCCCACTGGGCCTTGGGGTGCAGTGGGGCCCCTGAGCTTTATCCAGAGCCCGTAGGAGCCATGGAAGGTTTGAGGCAGCTGTGTAGGTTGCTGGGAGAGTGAGGACAGATAAACTTTTGAACTCTAAACTCATTTTTTGCCTTTTCCTCTTTTTTGACACAAAGGGAGCTCTGGCCCCCACCACCACTAATATGCTACTTTTTTCCCACTGTGAACAATACAACGTCATTTGGATTTGGCCTGGACTCCTCCAAAGAGCCATTGTAGAGAGACAGGTCCTAATTAAGAGAAAGGTGATGTCTACATGCTAGGCTTTCACCTGCATTGACCTCAGGCCTGGTGTGTTGGGGAGCAGATGCCGAGGACACAAGCTCGGGCATGAGTTTCTGCTCCGCTGCTGCTGTCCCTCAGCCCTGTCACTGGCGGTTTCTGGACCAGGAGGAAGGAACACTGGTTCATGGGTCAGAAGCTTGGGTCAGAGCCTCAGCTCAGGGGCTATGGACTGTGTGAGTGTGAGGGCCACCTTTCCCAGATGACCTCTTCTTTCTCAGTTGTCAACTGCAAGGGTTCCATCACAGCGAATGGGTACTGTTATGTGTCAGGGCTGTGCCAGGATCCAGACAAATGGCCAGGCCCATGTCAGGGGAGCCTCCCAAACTAGGAGAATGCTGCTCCCAGGCAGTGAACATAAGGAGATCCAAAGGCCCTGAGCCAGAGTCTGGGTGAGAACTGTGGAGCCCAGGGACTGGTAAGCCCCCAGAGGAGTGCTCCTCGGTGACAGGAGCACTTGGTGACGTCATCTCTGTTGTGCAGTGCCCCACACAAGCAGCTGAACTAGCATTTACCGCAGAAATTGCAAAGAGACTGTGTCTAGAGTTGACAGGGGCAGGGGGTCAGGAATCAGAGTGTTCCAGGAAGGGGGACCAGCCAGCACCAAGGCCCATGGCATCACCTTTTACTTGGTGTAGTCTGCGACTCATTTTCCTTTCATAGCTGCCTGGAGGGTGTTGACTGTAGGCGTTAGAGGCTGCACGCTTCGTCTCATTTTATTCTGCTAGGGGACCTTACGTTTTCCTCCATTTCCCAAATCAGGAAACCAAGGTACACAGCGGTACCTAATTTGTCCAAGGTCACACAGGTAGGAAACAGGATTTGAACCTAGACAGGCTGCAACATCCAGGCCCTTCGCAGTCTAATGTCCCTCCCTAGGGCCAGGGAAGTCCTGACCTGAAGCCTCTGACCTTTGTTTACCGCTCAGCATCTAAGAGGTCACATGTGCACCGGCGTGGGATCCTGGAACTGGCAGGGACTTTGAACTGTGTCGGCACCCGAACCCCCATGGCCTACATGAACTACGGCTGCTACTGTGGCCTGGGTGGCCATGGCCAGCCCCAGGATGCCATCGACTGGTGAGTGTACATTTGGGTCCAGGCTAGAAGTTGCTCCTGTCCCCTGAGGCCCACGAGGAAGTACCCAAAGCTGAAGTTGGGGGTTCGTGCAAGAAGATCCCAGCATGTGGTGCTGCCTCCTGGGTTATGTGGCCAGAGAGGACACATCTTGGTGACAGCTGCCTCTTTACCCTGACCATGGGCTAACTGTGCTGCCTAGAAGGTAATATAACTTGAACCAGGCTTTAACACACCAGAACTGCTCTGAGCATCCCTTTGAATCCTCACATCAACCCCATTTCATGGACAAGGAGACCGAGGCGCTTAAAGGTTAAGTTACCTGTCTGGGCTGCATAGAGTAAGGCGTGGGACCTGGTATTTGAACTCGGGCAGTCTGACTGCATTCACGCCCCAACCCCTGCCCTCTGCAACCGTGTGAGAAGGGTCTGCTCCTGGAAGGCTGAGCTCTTCCTGTGACTTCCTCATTTACTCTCATGGCCCAGCTTGGAGACAGTCATGGTGCTTGTCCCCATTTTACAGATGAAGGCCCTGAGGCTCCAAGGGGTGCAACTACTCGCCCCCTTTCAGGAAGCTAGTAGGTACACTGTGCCAAGTTCAGCTGCCTCTTTCCTAGTTGGAGGTCCTGGTTGTCCCTGAGAGGTCTTGACTAACCCTTGAGCCACAGCTGCTCCAGCCACCGGCAGTGACCTCCCCGACTCTGACTGGCTGGTTCCTGCGTGTCCTTCAGAGGCAGCTCAGCCACACTGTCTCCAGGGAACCTTCTCTGGAGCCTCCCTGGGTCTGCCATCTCCTCTGGGCTTCTCAGTGTCCCTCTGTTTAACGTGTTTCCCCTTCCTGTGTCTGGTGGCTTATCTGTCTCCCTCCCCGGACTGGGGGCTTCCTAAGAGCAGAGCAGGGACTGGCTGACCTCCTGGGCCAGACCATTGAGGGCTCAGACAAGTGCAGAGAATACCAGTGGATGAATGAGTGGGTAGATGAATGAATGACAGGTCTGACGGCATTTGTGGGTGTTCCCGGGGTCACTGTTCAACAGTGAATGTTCATCGAGGCCGGGAGGGCCTGGGACAGAGGTGCCGTCCTCACAGAACTTTGGTCATCCCAGAAAGACGGATGTTAACGAGGTTTATAATGAGGGTTTCTTTACATACCTGCCCGGAAGGGAGGGATCCTGGGTTTTATGAAAGGGTGTGACAGGAGACAGTATGGCTTGGGGAGACAGGAGGAGGCCATGACATCCCAAGGGGAGGTGCCCAGGCAGAGGGTGCCACATGGACAGAGTGGGGATAAAAAGGGGCTTGGCTTGCTGGAGGGACAGAAAGGAGGCTGGGATGGCTGGAGCACAGAGGCTCAGAGCAAGGCAAGGAGGCTGCCTGGGGATGGCCAGGGATGGAGGCTGTGCAGGGCTCATGGAACCAGTGGGATTTTTCCCTAGCATTGAGCTTACCAGGGATAAAGCTTCCACCGGAAGGCACTGTCTCCGTAGGGGTCTGCACTCACCCGTAGCCCCAGCAAGGGAGGTTGCAAGAGAGTTCCCTGCAGGCACCCACCTGCTGGCCTGTCTGTGTGACACCTGCAGGTGCTGCTACCACCATGACTGCTGCTACACTCGCGCAGAGGAGGCTGGCTGCAGTCCCAAGTTGGAGCGCTACTCCTGGCAGTGTGACAACCAGCGCATCCTGTGTGGTGAGTCACAGCATGGTACACATCAGTGTCCCCAAGAGTCCCCTGGGCATCCTGGAAGAGCCAGGTGATTCCTGTGCTCTTCTTGTAATAACACAGGGTTGTTCTTAACTCTCCAGAGACCATCCCTTAGGTTTATGTACAAGAGATTTTTTACACTGCGTGTATGCACACACACACACGCACACATACACAGAAACCTATTTATTTAGTGTCTGGACAAAAAGGAAAAATAGATAGTGGGGCTGTGGTTGTAGCTCAGTGATACAGTACTTGCCTAGCATGTGTGAGGCACTGGATTCAATCCTCAGCACCACATATAAATAAATAAATAAATGTATTTGTTTACCTATACCTAAAAATCTTTTTTTTTTAATTTATTTTTTTAAGAGAGAGAGAGAGAGAGAGAAAACTTTTTAAAATATTTATTTATTAGTTATCGACGGACACAACATCTTTGTATGTGGTGCTGAGGATCGAACCCGGGCCGCACGCATGCCAGGCGAACACGCTACCGCTTGAGCCACATCCCTAGCCCCCCTAAAAATTTTTAAAAAGAAGAAAAAAGAAAAGGATAGAAATGACACCAGGTATAAACAACCATCAGAAGGATTCTGGGTTAAAAACCCACAGTGTTTCCACACTGTGGAATACTCTGCAACCAAAGACAGAATAAGATAGAAATATATGCCGACATAGAAAGATATTGACTGAAAAACCAACTGCAGAATGACTTTGAAGTACAGCCTTATTTGTGTTTGAAAAAAAGAAAAAAGGATAAAAGAATCTTGCAGAATAGTACCATACTACCTTCCCCAGCTTGATGTAGGCATATAGAAAGCTCAGAAAAAGATGTGTAAGGATAGACTCCAAATTGAGGGTGGCCATGATTGACTCTAGGGTAGAGGGCAACTTCATATTCTTTGTATGCTTCCATGTTTCACAAAGAGAATGTCTTCATGAGTTAAAGTTAAGCTGAGGGGCCAGAGTTGTGGCTCAATGGTAGAGTGCTTGCCTCGCACTCATGAGGCAGTGGGTTCGATCCTTAGCACCACATAAAAATAAATAAAATAAAGATATTGTGTTTTCTACAACTAAAAAAACATATTAAAAAAAAAAAAAAGTGGAGTGCGGTGGCACAAGCCTGTAAGTCTAGCATCTCTGGAGGCTGAAGCAGGGGGATCGGAAGTTTAAAGCCATCTCAGCAATTTAGTGAGGCCCAAAGCAGTTTAGCAAGATGCTGCCTCAAAGTAAAAAATAAAAAGGGGGGCTGTGGACGTGGCTCAAGCGGTAGCGCGCTTGCCTGGCATGCGTGCGGCCCGAGTTCGATCCTCAGCACCACATACAAAAAAAAAAAAGATGTTGTGACTGCTGAAAACTAAAAACTAAATAAATAAATAAAATAAAATAAAAAGGGCTGGGGATGTGGTTCAATGGTTAAGTAAGGGTCCCTGAGTTCAATCTCCAATACCAAAAAAAAGAAAAAAACAAATGTTGAAAGGGAAAGGAATACGTGGCCTGAAGTATTTTAGGTTAAAGTGCACAGATGTCAGCAATTTATTGGAAACGTGTCAAAACCAAACAAAGCTGGGCATGGTGGCACATGCCTGTCACGTAGGAATGACATCAGTCTGGTGATCGGCAGATGGTTTATGGTGGTCCTGGTCATTCTCAGGATCTTTAGGCTGACCTTGTCTCCATTATCTGATCAGTAGATAGTACTGTAAAGTTCCCTAAATGATAGGTTTCTTAAAATGTCCTATCTCTTTTTTACTTAACCTATTTATTGGTGGGCTAATTAACAGTGCACAGGTAGATTTATGGGTTTCCCAGAAATTTGGGAGGGACAGGCCTCAGAGACAGACTGGCCTGGGGAAGCATGTGGAACTTCGTGGGGAGCCAGCCTGGATGAATGTGCCTTTAGGTCCTGATGCCCCGGGGTCCTGAACAATTATTGCATTCCGCAGTAACTTGGGCATTACCCCAGTGTGGCTCCAAGAGCAGGCACCCCTGGGGTTGAGTTACACTCACCTGTTCCTTTGTAATCCCACCCCTTCTGCCTTTTTCGGATAGAATGTCCTAAGAAACAGTGTCCTCCAAACAAAAGCCCACTTCCAAATGCGCTCCCTCTCTCTCATCAGCCTCTGGTGACCTTCTCTTGCCCCCCCCCCCCATTTTGGGGAACTTGAGGCCGGGAGACGGGGAAGCCGTCCTGAAGCTTATAAAAGGTATTCTGTGTGTGGTATTTTGCGTCACCCCAAATTCACACAGGTGACTTTGGTTCAGCTGCCCGCACTGGTCAGGGGCGCCACTAGTCCTTCCTTGACGTCTGTTTTCTACCTGTTTCTTCTGTCCTGTCTCAGGGGAATGGGTGGGTAATGGTGAAGCGAAATGTTAAAAGAAAAAAATTCCTGTGCCGGTTCATTTCCAGTTCATTTCACTGGCCAAGCCCTGGTCTCCCAGTGTCTGTTTCCTAGTTTGTACACTGCGGGTGGAATTGGAGCCTGTCTGGTATGAGGTTGAAGTGACAGGACACTGTGCCTCATGCATGGCAGGGGCCATGGAATAAGTGACCCAACAGAGAACCTGCCTTGAGAGTGACCCAGCGACACCCCACTGAGGGCAGGACTGGGCAAGTGCAGGGCAGCAGCTTTAGCTCACCCTGAGCCCCCCAAAGAGGAAGCTGTTTCTCCTTCAATTCTCTTTTAATTGTGTGGAGGGGAGGAGAAAGTCTCAGTTCATCGCTGCTTAACTTTCACATCTCTCTAATATTTGCTGATCCTTTTTTTTGTTTAGTTTGGCTTTTCTGGTACCAGGAATGGAACCCCAGGGGTGCACTACCTAACTGAGCTACATCCCCAGCCCTCTTTTTACTTTTTGAGATAAGAGCTCACTAAGTTACCTAGTCTGGTCTCGAACTTGTGATCCTTCTGCCTCAGCTGCCTAAATTGCTGGGATTACAGTCTTGTTTACTTAGTTATTTAATTGATTGATTGATTCTGAGGTATGGAGGGTTGAACCCAGGGACTTGCACATGCTAAGGCAACTGTACCACTGAGCTAGGCCACAAGCTTGATTCCTTCGTAAACAGAGAAAACCGCTCTGGCTGATAACTGTATCCAAGAGTTCTACACTGAACTCTGGTTTGGCTTTGTAACTGTCTATCTACTAATGGTTTATTAATTTTTTTTTTTTTTTTTTGGTTTCCACACTGTATTAGTTTATCTTGAACCACAAGCAACATGAGAATGATTATTATCATACTGCATCCTAACATCTCAGTGTTCATTGTACCTGACTAATGTCTCCTAACATCAAGAGAAAAACTACAATTAAAAATGTTAGGTGTCTCCAAGGCAACCTTTCTTATTTTATTTGTTTGTTTGTTTATTCATTCATTCATTCATTCTGGTACTGGAGATGGAACCTAGGACCTCACATACTAGGCAAATGCTTTAACAATGAGCCACACCTCAGCCCAACCTTACTGATTTTTAAACAAAACAATGAAAAAAAAAAATAGTGAGACATTTATTTTTAAGACTCAGTCACACATGGTGGTGTTCACCTATAATCCCCGTGACTCAGTAGGCTAAGGCAGGAGGATTGCAAGTTCAAGGACAGCTTGGGCAATTTAGGGAGAACCTGTCTCCAAATGAAAAGGGCTGGGAGTGAAGTTCAGTGGTGAGTGCCCCTGGGTTCAATCTCCAGAGAGAGAAATGGGGCTGGGGGAGGAAGAGAGAGAGAGAGAGAGAGAGACAGACTGACTCAGTGGTGCTTTCCACTTACAGTTTCCTTTCAATTAAATTTAAAATCAGAATTAATTTAAAGTTCAGTCAGTGAGACTCAGACTTATCTGAAGAGTTAGAAATGAACCAGAAAACTGCTTCTATCACTTTTTTGCTTTTAATTGAGAATAAACATAATGCAAAATTCATCATTTTAAAGCATACAACTCAGTTATAATATAGTCACAATGTCAGCCAACCATCATCAAAACATTTTCAATGCCTCCCCTCAAAAAATATACCCAATAGGGACTGGGGATGTGGCTGTACAACAGAATGCTTGCCTAGCATGCATAAGGTCCTGGGTTCAATCCCCAGCACTGCAACACACACACACACACACACACACAAACAAGCAAAAAAAAAAAAAAAAAAAACAAAAACTTATACCCACAGCCAGTCCCCAGTCTCCCACCCTCTCATTTCTCCTTATCACCAGCACCTGATGCAGAAAAAGATAGACTGGGTCTACCTAGAAAAGCAAATGCAGGAAACCATTGAAATGCAAAGCAAAGAAAGCTAGCCCAAGTCTTTAGCCTGTGCCCTTGGCCTAGCCCTTGGACCTAGCCCTTGACCCACACTCTTCCCTGCAAAAGATAATTGAGGGCAACTGGAAAACTTGGTGCAAAATTGTGTGACTCCACCCTGGCTCCACTTCTAGTCCAGCCCCCAACTGCCCCTCTATGAGTATTAACACCCCACACCCAGGGGCTGTTCACCCAGGGGCTGCTCTCTCCCTCTGAAGATGGCTGGCATTCTCCCTTTAATGTGTGTCTGTTCTCCTAAATAAATCTCTCTCTACCCTAACGGCCAGGCCGAGTGCTGACATTCTTTTCTGCATGTGTGGCAGAGACCCCACTTGTGCAGAGTTGAGGCCCCCCCCCCCCGCCATCTTGGGAACACCTTGGACCTCAAGGACAAGCCTGTCAATGTGATTTCTACCTCTATGCACATACCAGGATACTTGGTATCTTAGACTAGGTACGTGCATAGAGGCAGAAATGAGTGTGAGTGGTATGAGTGGAATTGCACGGTATGTGGATCTCCACCCCGGCTTCTTTCACTTGGTGCCCTATTTTGGAAGTTCACCCACATCGTAGGGTATTTTGGTGCTTCATTCCTTTTATGACCAAATTGTGTTCTACCGTATGGCTCTGCCACCTTTCATTCTGCGGTGGTTCCAAGGATGGCCATTTAAATTGTTTCTACCTTCTG